CACAATGGGCTTAATTTAATTTCTTGGATAAACTGTTCAAAAGATTTAATACTTTATAAGAATTTCTTTTTTAAATGTAATATTTTTAAAAATGTTGTTATTGTTTGACATTTGCTATACACTGATATATATTATTATATATTATATATTTTTTTATATTTAAATATTTTGAAAAAAATAATTTTCAAATGTTATCTAAAAATATTAAATCATTTAAAGTGCTTATCTAAAAATAGTAAATCAACTCCTTTATGCATGAAGTCTATGCAAGTAACAATTTTGTGGTACTCAGAGTGTCACTCTATTTATTTCACAATTCTTATGTTAAGATTAGCCATCTTTAACAATCAATACAGGGAGAAAGCAAGAGCCTTGCAGTGTACAGACTTGAAGAAGGGTGGGTGTAGTGGATAACTTGTTGAGAGAATTATTTCAGGGACAGAAATGATCATATAGGTATGATGAGACCCAGCTAAAGGCTGTACCGGTGATTTCAAGGTTAGCCAAGGTTAGAAAAGGGTAGGATAATTAACTCCATAAGGATGAGGATAAAACAGCTTAACTTGCAGTTTTGGGCAAATATTTAATGGATAGATAGGAAAATTGTTTCTGTTCTCTAGCTAGTTGGATGTTAACAAGCTGTATCAAATGCTTGGAGGTATAGGAGAGATGGGAGATCAGACACCAGTAGAAAGGGCAAGATCAGTAGATTTTTTTTAGAGAAGTGGCTTTATGTTATTTTGAGAAAGGGATTGAAATATCAGCCAGAAGCAAGTGATTAATATTGAGTAGAAAATAAAATAAGTAGAAAGAAGGGATACAGAAGAAACTTTCAGATTGGGTCAGTCTAGGAGATGGTAGACCTGGTGTGTTTTTAAAGATCATTAACACAGATTCTAGTGAAGGAGTTAAGAAAAAGTAGACAAAGAACTGATTACTATATACATAGCATCTTTTAGATAAAGAAACATAGATTACAGAAAATATCTTTCTATATAATTCTGATTTCTATGTTTTGCTCTGATGCAATAAACCAACATTAAATTTGTATACATTAAATTCTGCACAGAAACATATACACATGATTAATATAGAGAAATGTTCTTATCGTTGTATTTTCCTTATGAGATTGTACAATTTCATTATGTACTTTGACACTGCTTGCCAATATGCTTCCTCTTACCATTTGTGCAGACTGCAAATGAAATTATTATGGATTAAAAACAAGTAGATTATTTAACATGCAGTATAATTAAAGCAGTAATAAATCAATAACATTTTGTGATTGGAAAAAGAAATCTATATTTCATAAAGAATTGCTTTTCAAAATGCAAAAAATAAGAAGAGATATTCTATTGCAAAACACACCAAACAGGTTGTTTAACAAGATTTTTTAGATTAAGTTATTGTCAATGATCTATTGTCAATAGTTGAAAAATAAAATATATTAATTTTGTTCCCAAATGGAAACAGTGTAAAAATATTATGAAAAATTACTATTACTACTAAATTGAATTACTATTAGAAATTTCTTGTTGTTACAATGTATTAGTGTATGTGGAGGGTTGTTCCTGCCCTGAAGCAATATAAGACACAATCCATTGCAATGAATTTCAAAGATGCACACTTGAGGGGTTTGACCAGTGATTTAGAAATTTATCTTGATTAACAATGTTCCCTGATCTATTTCACTTAGCATGGAGCAACACTGAATTTTGCACATTTTATGCATGTTATCCAGCGATGCATGTCCGATACAATTTGGCTGGAGGTTACAAAACCTAAGCATTTTTACGATCTATATTTTTTTTGTGGTAACTTTAGAAATGTAACACTGCAATAGACTGGTTGCAATAAGGGAGTCCCTGAAACTGGTAAAACATTAAATGTTTCTCAGCAAAGGTAGAACTTTTATCACATAACATTAGCAAGCAGTTGCGCCTGATTGTTGAAAATACCCAAAAGAAGATTTTTGTTGATAGTGTTATTATTATTATTATGATATTTATAGAGCGCCGTCAAATTCCGCAGCGCTTTTAGTGTTCATTTATGATAAGTATCCAGGGCATGATTTAAGGAATTTTGGACCCAATCTCAGCAGCCTTGACCTTTGATGCACAAATATTTTTCACACAGTTTAATATTTTCAAATACAAACTGCATAAAGCAGGGTACTCCTGTCTGCTATCGTCTACACACAGTGTACCCTAATGTGATTTCAAATAAAATCAGAAGATTCATGAACTGAATTTATCAGTGTGGGAATACATAGTAAATTTCATATTAGTGTACGTGCAATTCAGATTTGAAATGTGGCTCT